ATAAAACTATGCATTCATTCTCTTGTTGTCTGGATACAAAAAGCTGAAGCCGTATTTGAACAATGCAATGTATATGGGCAATTTTTTTTTCGTAAAATCGGTTGACGGTACCCCCCAGATCTGTTCATTTTACTAAGAAAAATAATCTGTGTAAGATTTTAGTTCAATTGGATAAGTATAAATGGTGCCCCAAGAGCCCCAAAGATTGGGATAAAACGATTTTTTCCATAAAACTCGTCTTTAATTGCTTATATCTCCGACATATTTAATTTTACATAAAAACTTAAAAACTAAAAGTTTTAAAAATAAAACTAAAAGTTATAGATCTATTAAAAAACAATTCACTTATACAAAGTTTTTCTGTATTTCTAATAGTTATTGAATAACAGAAATAATTAGCTGAAGTCACCCGATTGCTAGCTTTGCATGTATTATGAATGCAATTATCCGCTTCAGCTTTACAAAAAATTTATTATTTCTAAAAAATTTAAAATAAATTCAATATTTCTAAGATTTAATATTTCTAATAATGAAAAAGTACTAATTCTAGGTTTCTCCGACATAATTTTTATTATTTTAGTTAAAGTTGCTGGAGCAAAGTATCCTTATTACAATTTGGAAAACGACGGCGGTAATCGTTAACTTTTTTTATTTAATTGATTTAAAGTCTAGCATTAGTTTGACTCCTCGGTCTGCCGTAACATTTACTACTTTTAAGCTTAAAAATGTTTTCTTAGCTTGAATAAAATTAAGGTTTTAATGCCATTTTGTGGGACATATTTTCATGAACTCATCGCACAACTTGAAACGTCATCGTATACAAACTGTTCAACTTCCTTTTCGATCATTTCAGTTGTTTTTGCACGATCTATTGATAGTCTCTTGACGTCCATGTCATCACTTTCTATATTCAAATTCGAAACCATCTTTTTCTATATTTCAGGCGATATATTTGAATCGAAAAATGTCAAACCAACAAGCTCGGAGCTTAAACATCATAATTTCTCCAAAGTAGCTCTAAATATATTGTCATCAATTTTTTCATATTGACTGAGAGTAGAAAGAAGATTAAAATCTTGGAAATTAACTTTGACTGATGACAAAGCATTAAACCATACTTCAATATACACTTTAGTAATAAATATACACATACCGCAAAGAGCACTTTCTTCTTCTGTAGATTATTTGAACTCTTTCCTAAATAAAAATATTTTTAATGCATATATGGCTTTTGCCATCCATCTTGCATGATGTATAGCCCCAGGAGAACGAAACTTTATGCTGCAGTTCGGCTTTTCTCCTAAAAATATTAATGCAAGTTTTTGAAGTTCCGTATAATCATCTATTGGTTACGCTATCCTTACGAATCTTATAAAGGAAACTTGTAATTCGTAACACGTCATCAGTATTTAACGATTTTCTTACTTTTTCATTTTCTAAGTCGACTGTAAAATTATCAACGTTTATTTTCGGCCAAAACTTCTGAAATCGTTAAAATAGTTCAACATTTGGGCTTTCAGACTTGTAAATCTTAGCATGGAAAACACTTTTGAGAATAATTTCGTAAATGTGATGTCTGCACGCTAAATATAAAATATCTCTTTCTTAATATTTTTCAATAATTGTGCAAGTTCCATTGAAACGTCCAGTGTTTACTAGTGTCGTATCAAAAACTAAAGCTTGCACGTAATCCTGCAAATCCTATCCAAAAATTGATTTACACATAGCAGATGCCTGTGCTCTTCCGGTACCATTTTTCAGTGCAGGTATCTCATGAGTTTATAATAGGATCCCAAGGTTTTTATTCATTTATTGGTATTCGTGCCTTTTGCCAAAATATGATAACTTCTTGTATAGTTAATGTAGCACTTTCCCTTAACCATAATTTAACCACACACATGGTAAAAAAAAACTTTTAATACTTCCCTATTTGATGGTAATTTACTACCAGTCAACCTACTAGAACCAGTCAACCTACTAGAAACAAGGTATCAATACGATTTTTGCGAATATTTAAAGAAGACATTTCGGTAACACTTTTTAATGTAATCACTTTGAATTAATCAATACGATAAAATATTAGAAAACTCAATTCGCATTCCAATGAATAATACAGAAACTCAGTTATGTATATAACTATACAAGTATTGGACTTATTTTGTAGCAAATTTAGTAGACAATTCATTCATTGAACTTACCTAAATTTAATAGGGGGATTTCAGCTTGTATTTGCTTTTATTCAATAACTATTAGAAATACAGAAAAACTTTGTATGAGTGAATTGTTTATTTTTAATAGATCTATAACTTTCAGTTTTTATGTAAAATTAAATATGTCGGAGATATAAGTAATCAAAAATGAATTTTATGGAAAAATCGTTATTTTCCAATCTTTGGGGCTCTTGGGGCACCATTTCCATTTATCCAATTAAACTAAAATTTCACACAGATTATGTTTTTAGTAAAATGAAGCAATCTGGGTGCCGCGGGCAATTTTCCGACTTTCGAAATTTAATGGTACCCTAATCAGTCAGTGAAGCATTTCAGACAAATCTCAAACTCGTTCTTATCCCAGGCGCAATAATATCCATCGTCTGTGACATGTCAGCAAAGAATGCACGTTCTTTTATCTGCAAATCATCTCGGCAACACATTCTCAATGCCGTGCATTGGCTTTCGCATCCAGACAGAATAGCCACCATCAAACTCATCAGTAAGCGGAACGTGTAACCAAATATAAAACAGGACATCGGCCGAATGGTACGAACATGCATTCCGTGCCAACGTACAAAGGTCATCAGGGACAACAAAACAACAATTGGCAGCTTTACAACACCAGAGCAACGGTTCGCAGTAATCCATATCAATCTAATTGGACCACTACCTACCATAAATGAATATAAAGACAGCTTTACCTGTATCCATCGATTCAGTAGATGGCCGGCAGCAATCCCAATCGAAGACATCCACTATTCAATAGTTGCTACCGCACTAATTAATGGCTCGTTAACAAACTGCGGAGTGCCATAGCAAATTATCACCGATCAAGGCCGTCAACTTGAATCCCAACTTTTCAATGAGCTGGTACGTATTTTAGGAGTAAGACATCTGCGATCAAGCCTTCGTCATCCACAAAGCAATGGCATGATTGAACGCTTCAATCGCACATTAAAAACAGTCTTAAAGTTTAAGAACGACCAACACTGGACAGAAGTATTTCCATTTGTCGTCCTTGCCTTAAGGAACACGGTGGCGCCCTAAAGCTGCCACGTGATTTTTTTGAGGAAATCAAAGGCGACCAGAATTTGTGCAACGCTTTAGACAGGCCATGAGTAACATTCACCAAGTACCAATATCACTACATTGAAGAGATAAAGCTTTCCTACAATGCGAGTTGGAAAAATATATTCACGTTTTTTTGCGCGATGATGTGGTACGACCATCTTTGTAAATCCATATGATGGACTGATAAGACGTACGGCCTCTTTATAAAAGGGAAACCAGTACGCGTAAGTATCGATCGCATAAAAGCAGCATTTATACCAAGCAACGAACTGAAGTTGAACGCAACTGACCCACAATCCTCTCTTACAATTCCATTAAATGTCAACACTAACAACGAACACAACGCATTCCGAGAAAATACGTCACCTACAACTTATCGTTACATCGTACGTAACTCAATCACTGGCAGGGAAGTGATGTAGCGAAACCTTCAAACAAATTCGCTTGAAAGTTTCGTTTGAAAAATCAACATAAGCACGTGTACCACGGCAGAATTAGTTCAGTTCAGATTGAGCTGTAAAAGAGATAATAATTCCGTTAGACTACAATATGATTAAGATAAACTGTAATTGTGAATAAATAAATAGTTCACAACAGGACAAACTGTTACTGACGGCATCGATAAGGAAATGTTTAAAAGGTTTGTTGATAACAATAATCCCAATAAGATATACTCGGTTGGTGACTAGATTTGTGTTTACTTAAACGAAATTAATTTGAGATATTAATATGTTAATATATTTCAATAAAAAATATTTGCAGAAAATTTATATAATTTAATAAAATATTTGCTTCCGGTTAAACGAACTACAAAACTTTCTTTCAATTAAATATTTTAATTATTTTTGGCTAAAATGACTAAAAGCTCCTTTTCGCTGAAAGGCCAGTTTTGAATTATCGAGACAGGATGAAATCAGTTTGTTAACTGAAATCCGCACTTTAATTGAAAATTTCCTGACGAAATATTCTGAAATTAGCATATAAAAAAAAAAATTATTAATGAACTTGTATTTATGAACTTGTATTCATTACGCAAATTCAATTAAAATTTAATTTATAATTCTTATTTTATCAATAAATAGCACTCTAACAACTTCGCCTTATCCTTTAAAATTCTTTCTTATTTTCCCAATCTTATATGAGAGCAATGTGAATTTAAGTGAATACTATGTATCCTCTAATATTTCTGTCTACATGATAAAGATAATATGAGGCTGAAGTGCATTCATTTGTTTTTATTTCAACAAAGGAGTATTTTAGTCGACTTACTGAGTTATTAGACATTCATCTCAAGTATTGTTTACAAGATCCTCTTTAGAATGCTTTACAGATTCTTAAGTTTAATTTTGTTTTACTTCAGGTATATTTTTGCGTTGAACACCATTATGAATATATACAGTACATCTTAATATTTGAAAATTATTTAACCTGTAGTAGATACATTTTATTCAGTTTTATATGGAAATTTATTTGTAATTAGTAGAAAGCATTCAAGACATCCAGAACCCAATTTCTTTGAAATGAAAATATTACAAAATATTTAACATTTCTTTCAATTTTTTATTTCCATTGTCTATCCCATTTTATTCCATGAATTTCAATTAACAAGTACATATATGAATATATGGTAAATGGAACAAATTTTTTGAAATCTAGTAATCTCGGAATTGAAAGTAATTGAAATTGTAAGTTCAAACATTTAAATCTTAATTTCAGTCTATTTGGTTTCACATTTTCCCATCCAAAAAAATATTATTATGGAAGGACAAAGTCTCTTGACAACCCTGTCTTTGTCAGAACTGAAAAGGGAATTGGACCAGTTTCAAGAAAAATGTTTAAGACTTAAGATTCACAGCCGTAAGTTTGTTTAAATTTTAGAAAAATAATTTTAGTCATTAATTCCATAATTTTCAATTATTATAATTTTCTATAAATATGCCAAACAAATTTTTTATGACGTTAACTTTGCATCATTGAAGGTAAAATTATTACATGTCTTAATCCATCAAAAAATAAATGCTTACTTTGATAGCTATCATGAATAATTTTTAATAGTCTTATAGTCCACTACTTACAAGTTAATGACACTTTGGGTGAGGTAGGTATGACAATGTATGATGTATTCCCGCCTGTTGTTCTATTTAAGTGTTTGTCTTGTCTTTACAACAAATTTCTGGTAAAATGCATAGTTTTTGGATGATATTTTTGATTAAATAGTACTAAAGTATAGTTTTGGGCACGCAAACTTCACAACGATTTCTTGCTGTGTTTCCGCTCATAAACCGCTGCACAGTGTGACAAAACACAAAATTAGGCGGTCATAATTCGATATTTTCGGAACTAGTAGAGATATTGACATGAAATTTTCCTAAAATATAGTTTTTGAGTTGATCTCTCTTTTAAATTTGAATCTAATCTAATTTGCATCTGAACATAATGTGTTATAACTTTGTTATTTTTCAACCGATTTTGTTGAAATTTGAAATATAAATAAATTAAATATTTATAAAATTATAAATGTCTTTTTGTTATTACTTATTGAATTTGTTATTGAAATAAATGGGGTTTATTGAAGGTCATATTTTTCGTAATTTTTCGCTGGTTTCTGAGGCCTGAAATAGGTGTAAAACATAGAGTGCGCAGGCAAATTTTTTTTGTTGAAAAGTTTAACTATTTGGCTATTAGTGGAAAAAATTTCATGAATAAATTGGGATATCTTTTTTGGGGATTGCAGATAGAAGTGAAAATGACCATGAAAAAATTACTGACTTTTTGAGTAATTTCGCTAATAAAATTTTATTGATAATTAAAATTGAAATTTTTTTTAAACATAATGAATAACAATATCCTAAGCTTTAAAAAAATTAAAAATGAGCATTTTTGAATAAATAGTAAAAAAGCTATAAGGATTTAAACTTGGTTCAATTTTTGCGAAATCGTAATGTCGCTAAAATTGAATTAAAATGCAAATAACTTAGGAACTAATGAGCGGATCACGCCCATTTTTTGCATAAAGTTGTATTGCTATGTAAGTCACGTATATATATAGTCCAATAAGTGCAAAAAGTGTTTTTAACGATAATAAATGATTTAATATGATAATTTTGTATGGGGGTGGGTGTGGCAGTGGGCGGAAAATCATAAAAAAATTTTGGAGTCTAGATTATAAAACAAGTTTTCCGGACACCGGACAAAATTCAGCTTTCTACCTATCATAGTTTTTAAGTAATCTTGGGACCACGGTAAAATCCCCATGTTTGGAAAAAAATTTCGGGTAGTTCCGGTAGACCGATTGGGCTCAAATTAAATTTAAAAGAAAGATCAACTCAAAAACTATATTTTAGAAAAATTTCATATCAATATCTTTACTGGTTCCGAAAATATCGAATTATGACCGCCTAATTTTGTATTTTGTCACACTGTGCGCTGCCTTATTTGCTTTGGTAAGCGCAATTATCACTCTCTTTTTCGGGGTCAGCATGTCCGTCGATACTTTCAGACGGCTGCGATCACTAAATTAAATCTGCCTACAACGTTTTTCGTTTTGATATTTGGGTTTGGTTTCAGTATTACTAATCTCTTCCCTCTACTGTCTCACATAATTTTGCCACTCTTCATGTATAAGATGGCATATTTGAAAATTTCAATTTTGCTAGTTTGGCTGGTTTAGCTCCTCACTGTCAGGAATTTTGTTCAATTTTTCACAGCCAATTTGTAGAGCAAAGACGATTCTATTAATGAGAATCTATATTATCAGCTCAACTCTGACATCAGCCCACATGATAATAGATACGAAGGTGTCCATGTTTTTCCTCTAAGACATTAAGGTGGACATCTGCAGTTGGCTGCTTAGTCCATCCTTCTCTCATATACTTTGCTGAGTGTTGTATTATCTAAGTAGAAACCAATTCTTTTGTCTATTTCGCCAAATTCTACGAATTTATTTGTCGTCGAATTTGGCATTTAGATGTTATTCCACATCCGACTACCGACGAATAACACATTATATTATTGGCTTTTAAGAGGTTCGCTTTTAACTAATTTCTCTACATTTCAGACTTCATTGAACCAAAAGATTTATCAATAGATTTATTGATTGAAGAAAGCAGAAAACTAAACAAAAGTTGGGCTCGTGACAAGGCATACGTTCTTGATATGTTGTATGGTGAAAAACGTAAGTTTATATGCCATTTAAAATAAGAGAAAATATAAACCTGATATCTGATTTAATTGAATAAATAGAGTGCTTCAAACAGATAAATAAGAGGCCCCAAGTACGCCATAGTCCCATTTTGCCGCCAAGTGATAATCGTTCATACATTTACAGTCGCGGCAGGTACATTCCTTATACAGAATACGTAAGAAGGACTGGGTAAGCTTTCATAATTAATTTATATATAAATATATATCTACGTTTATGAAGTTGTAGATAGTTACACACACGTATTTGTTAATTCTTTATGTGGTTTTATGCATAGATAATCGTATGAACGATTGATCTCAACTGAACCTTTTTCACAATTCATTGTAGTATATTAGACTTCAATTCTAATTAATTCTTTAACAATGACTCTAAATTGGCAAATAAATAAATTTCATTTCTCATCACGAATCGTTTTAGACCTAACGCATGATTGAAGAATACTAGAATTAAGGAATTCGGTAAGGTGGAAAGAACTGGAGTGCTGTAATTGACGATATCTTGTTATAAAAAACATGAAAAAGCGAATAAATTCTTTTTCCTCATTTGCATTTTCGGATTTAAATGCTTCAGATTGCATACTTTACGTAGAGCTTAACCAAAATTCTTCTGTTCACTTTTAAACGAAAATGAAAATATGAGAAGTCCTTACTTTCTGATAATTACTTTCCAGATAATATTTTTTGAACCAATCAGGAAATAAAATTTTGAAGAAGTATGTTCGTAAGTTCTATAAAAATTCCCATTTTGAAAATATACAATAAATTGGTTTTATATACTGAAAAAACGTTTTTATTGTTTTTATTGATTTGGAAAAATTTTTGACGGTTCACGAAACTATTTTGATTTTTCACGAAACTCACATGGCAAATAAAGAAAAAAATGGATCCGTCTGAAAACTAAGTCGTTAGGCGAGTGTAGCTGCCTCGATCTAGAAATTGTTTGAAATAATATGAGTAAAATTGATATAGTTCAAGATTATTACTTAAGGTATGTAAGCTGAGTTTAGCATAATATCTGATTATAACTTTTCACATAAGCTGTTTGTTGCTATATCAGATATATTGGCAGTTCGATTATTATTATTTGAATTACTCAATTTGGAAAAATTTATTTCGCCTTTAAATCAAATAAAACAATACGCATATCAAATAGTAAAGGTTACTTTATGTCATTACTGTTCCCCCACTTCCACTTGTTGCAATTAGTATATTAATTAATATCAAAATCAGGACTTTCATATAGACAAATAACCGAAGTATGTATGTTGATCCTTTCTTTCGAGTCAGCACAACTGGGCACTTTTACTCTTTGATAGCTGGGGGTACTACAGGGTCCCACCCATCTCATTGACTAATTTATGTATTCCTTATAAGCTTCATGATTATTCAGTGATTGATCTAAGATCTGCGTACCTTCCCGTGCGAAGAGTGATTACTCTAAGATTAGATAGCGGTAAGTAGGAAAGCCAGTCAATTTTCGCATATAACTTCGTTTGTGCGGATTTACCAAGGCACTTTGAAGAGCCTTCGGAATGTCTGACTTTGAGCGACTTGTAGCTTTTGTATAGCGACACACCCATAAAGTAATGCTGGCTTAATTATCTGGCTATAGATCAGTTTTCTGTTTTTTACGCTAAGATTGTTGTGTTTGAAAAGTGGTTGTAAGCATTGCAGTGTTTTAGCACAACTGCTTCTTTTGACTTGTATATGCTTATGCCAAGTGAATTGCTTATCAAACGTGATATCTAAGTATTTAATGCTATCCTCTCAATTAATCACGATGTCACCAACTCTTACTCTAGGTGGATGTTGCCTCTTTTTACGTGTAATAAACAGGGCTTTAGTTTTCTCATTGTTAATTTTTATTTTCCATTTATGGAAGAATCCCAGGATGAGATTAATATGCTCCTGCAGCTTGTTGGTCACATTTCTGGCAAGTTTATTGGAATATAACAAGCATGTGTCATCTGCGTATAAAAATAATACCGAAGGACTTAGCATTGGGATGTCAGACGTGTAGATGTTGTACAACAAGGAGGAGAGCGGGGATCCTTGAGGAACACCCGCTTCTATTCTTCGTACTGATGAGGTGGTACTGTTGATTCTTACACGGAACAGCTGCTAAAGATTTTGATCAACCCGACTGGGATACCAAAACGAGACATTTTAACTATAAGACCGTCGTGCCACACCTTGCCAAATGCCTTGACGATGTCAAAAGTAATCATACCAGTTGATTCCCTTCTGCTCAGGGCAGACTGTATCATCTGAGCTGTTCGCAGCAGTTGTGATTCTGTGGAGAGGTCTTCTCTGAAACCAAATTGCTCATCGGGGAGAATATTCAGCGAGTTCACCGAAGTTTTAAGTCTATCTAGGATCACTCTTTCAGCTAAGTTACCCAGAGCTGACAGTAAACTAATCGGGCGCCAGTTCTGCGGGTACTTCGGGTCCTTGCCGGGTTTAGGAAAGACTACAACTGTGGCCTGTTTCCAAATTTTAGGATATTCACCTAGCCTAAACATACAGTTTATTATATTTGTAATGAGATGGATCGCATCTTCCGGAAGGTTACGTAAGCATCTGTTGTTAATTTTGTAGTACCCTGGTGCAGATCTTATCTTCAATCTTGAGATAATTAGAGCAATTTCATCACTAGAGCAAGGCGCGATGTCTCCATCAGGCTCTTAAGTCAAGATATTGTAAGCCTCCTCGGTGATATGTTCTTCCTCTTCAGAGTCATAATCATAGTCTTCGTTTGGCTGGAATTGAAGCTCCAAAGAGTCAGCAAAGGTATTTAATATGTTGAGGAATGTTAAAATAGTTGCTGGGTTTTCTATTTTTGATGGTAGAGCTGTTATCTAAAGCCTCCTTAATTTGATACGTAAGGTTTCGAATACTTTCCTTCAGGTCCATTAAGGTTTCAGGTTGATTCAACCCTCCTCCAACATCTATTAGATTTTTGAAGGCGGCCCAGTCCGTTGTAATAAACGAGGGAGTCGTAATGTTAATGAGGCAGTTCTCTAAAATAAATAATACTGGTTTATGGTCCGAGTCCAGCTCGTCTGAGACTTCAATAAGCACACTAAAGTCTAGGTATTAGATATGGCAAGATCTATAATGTGGCCGATTCCTCTACCATGGTGAGTTGGCTTGTTAGGCACGTGTAGCTGAAGTAAGTGGTCAATGGCGAATTGGGCGATCACCCTACTTGCACTATTGGTGCTACTGTCACCCCACTTTCTGTGATACGCATTCAAGTCACCGGCCAGGAAAGACATGGAATTGTTATTAAATTGCGCTTCATTGTCTAAGTTTGTATATTCGGTGGCCTATAAACTGAGGTAAAGTTAATGTTACCTACCAGATGAGTTTGATATTTGTGTGATGTTTGATAAATTTTTTGATAAGAATAGCTGTTCCCCCACCTCTTCTGGATACTCTGTCTGATCTATAGATGTCATAGTTAAGAAAAGTACTAGAAACTATTGCGAAAACAAACGCGTATATTCCAACCGCACTTAACAGTTTGTAAAAAAAAAATGATGAATTGATCAGTGCTAGAAAAGAAGTTTTAAATATTTGGAAAGACCATTTTAGCGATTTGCTGAATAGCAATTAAGTCAAAAACCCTAGTGATACTGTATGCCTAGTAGATAATACTTCAAATCTGGAGAACAGAACAAATACCAGAAGAATGAAATATAAGCTTAATTTATTATAATATTTATATAAATGGAGACAAAACGCGTTGTGCTAACTACAAAGGCATGTCTCTTCTAAATGTTTCCTATAAAACATATTCAAATATATTGCATGAAAAACTAAACGTGTACGTAAAAGAAATATTAGGAGTTTATTAATGTGGTTTTAGAATCGGTCGCTCAACAGCAAACCAAAGCTTCGTTGTCGCAGATTTTCGAAAAGTGTGACGACTTCAACATTAACATACATTGCTTATTTATCGACTTTAAATAAGCCTTCGATCAGCTCAACAGAATATACATCGATTACTATGTTATATAAAAAAACGTGGTATACTGCATAAATACATTAACTTAATTAATATGACTCTGATGCATGCAAACACTAAAATAGTTTTGATTGGTGAGCTTTCAGATTAAGCGATTCTCTATCAAAGCTCCTGTTCAATCCGACTCCACAAGCAGCTATTAACAAAATAGATCAAGGTGATACAATATTTTATAAATTGGTACAATTTACAAAATACAAGGTAGTACAAGGTGGTACAATATTTATTTTGTGCAATATTGTATTGTATATTGTACAATTTATATAATATTTATATTGTACCATCTATGCTGACGATATCGTCATTATTCCAAGAGACAAGGAGTGTCTTTAATACGTTCTCATACACCTAGAAAAAACTACAAAGCAAGTAGGCCTCAGATAAAAACGATGAAAAAACTAAATACATGACAAGATTTGCCCAAGATAGCTACATCAGAATAGGCAGTTACAATTTCGAGTCCATAAGCGACTTTAAATATCTGGGTGTAGTTCTGAGCGTAAATAAAGATCTGACTCTTGCAATAAAAGGTCGTATTCAAACAGCTAACAGGGCATATTTTGCCCATATCAAGCTCATGAAATCAACGTTACTGTTAAAGGAACAAAAGTTGCGCATGTATAGAACTGTCATTTGACCAGGGACAGCAACCTGCTGCTGAGGTTCAAAAAAAAAAAACCTTAAGATACATTGTGCACAACCGCACATATGCATACGTAAGCATTATAATTTTATATAAGGAGTAGCATGCATACATTAGTAAATATATAACAACATAACTTTGTTGCGCAAGCGATATTGTTGCTTGCGCGATAAGCGTTAGAAATATACTAGTTAACCACATTCAATGACGCTATTCATAACAAAGCATGTCGTATATGGTATAACAACGAATTGAATGTCTTCAACGAAGGTCGAATTATAACACTATACATAATAGCTCAAAGATTGGGCTGATATGGACACATCTTACGACTGAGTAATGAAAGAACGACTAAAAAAGAGAACGACCACAACGAAAATGGTTACAAGATGTAGAAGACAACATGCGAACAATAAGAATAACACAACACAGAAGGAAAACGGAATGTAGAAAAGAATGGAGGCGAATTGTAGAGGAGACAATGATCCATCCTGAACTGCGATATCAAAAGGATGATGTGTCGTATAGTAGAGTATGTGCAAAAAATTCCAATGGAAAAAAGTTGAATGTATATTTATGTTCTGACTATCGCCTAATTAGCTTTCATTCCCCCTCTCGAAGATGTGTGAGAGTATTAAGGCTCGTTGTCACCTAAACTTCTTTCAGCATGTTGGTAAAATTGTTAATAATTCTTATTTCTATGTTTTCCTCTTTTGTGATTAGATACGGTGTCTCTCGCTAAGTTAAGAAGCTTAATCATTTCCATGACGCAATATGTTTACGGTCTGAGAAGATATGATCACCTGAGTAGTTTCAGGAATGCAATCGTAGGTTGCGACATTGAATAATTTCTGAAAATTTGTGTCTGTTTGTTTCTGTTTAAATTAATTAATGTTAAATTTCCATAATAACTTTTCAATTGTTTGCAATAATCATAATCCAATAGATCTCTTTCATTTATTTCTTTATTTCATTTTTATTTCCTGATTTATTTTAACCAAATTCATTTTTATTTCCTGATTTATTTTAACCAAAGAAACAACAATAAAGTTGCAATATTAAAACTAAACAGTTATTCTTTAAAAAAAAATTAAACACAATTATATGCAAACGTAGCAATTTTTGAAACAGAAAAAGTCTACGGATATTTCTTAATATTTACATTAAAACAATAAAATTCACAAAAATCTTTAATTTAATAGCCTGTGGGATAACCTCTGCATTTAATAACCTCTGTTAAGCGTCTTTGCATGGACTCAACTAGCTTTGTAGTATCCTGTGCGTTTATTTCTAGCCATTCTTCTTTGATGACGTTTCTTGCTATATCCTTGCTGGAAAACATATGCTGGCGAATCTTATTTTCCAAATAAACCCACAGATGTGGAAAGGACTAAGGTCTGGTGATTCTGGTCGTGTTTGAAGTTGCCTGAGAGCATAGTACAGCATCCAAATCCGTACGATGACTGTTGTATGTTTAGAGTCATTGCCCTGCTGAAACGAAAAGGTTGCCTCAAGTCCTAACATTCTGACATTTTCTTTCAAATTTGTTTTTAGAATATTTATATACCCATATTTCTCCATTGTATCTTGTACAAATTCAAGTCTGACCGCACCATTATTTGCTATACACCACTAAATCATTACGCCTTCACCACCACGTTTTAATGTTGAAATAGAGTTTTGTTTATCATAGGCTGTGCATAATTTTCTCCTTACAAATTTTTTAACTTTGATTCAAAATATGTAAAATTAACTCTCATCGGAGAAAATAACTCATTTTCAGAACTTTATAGGTTTATTTATATGCTTTCTTGCAAAGCTTAATCATTTTATTTTATTATATCTGGATATGTATGACTTCTTTCCTGCAATCAGGGTATAATACATGCATTTCTTCAAAATTTTCCGCAGAGTTTTAGGACATATTTTGTTTTCAAGTATTTCGGCAATATGTTCAGCTAGTTTGAGGGCTATTACTCTTGCATTTACTTTCACCTGGTTGATTATGCTACGTCTTTCTCTATTTAACAGAATTGAGGAGCGGTGAGTGCGAGGTTTAGAAACGTAAATGCTGGTCTCTTTGAAGTTATTTGTAATTCTCTGCACAGATGAATATTGACGACCAATATCTTCAGCAATTTTTCTTTGGCTTACGTCATCTTTCTAAAATTTAACAGCTGTTTGTAGCTCACTAAAACTAATTTCACGTCCTTTTTTTTATATTGTAAAAATTTATTGCTTATATAAAAAAATGTTATAAAATGATTAATTTTTAGACTCTTTAGGAAGTCAACTATTAATTAAATATCATTTAATGACACTTTTATGCTTGCAAGCGAATTTAAATTAACGGTAAATGTAAATATTAAGAAATATCCGTAGACATTTTCTGTTTCAAAAGTTGTTGCTTTTGCATATAATTGTGTTTAATTTTTTTCTAAAGAATAACTGTTTAGTTTTAATATTGCAACTTTATTGTTGTTTCTTTGGTAAAAATAAATCAGGAAATAAAAATGAATTTGAGTAAAAATTAAAAAAGTTATGCGTAATTTTAGAAAAATTTTGTGAATATCCGTAGACTTTTTCTACTATGTGTATATACATTGCTATTTTTTAATTGTCAATTTTTTTTCACTTTTTTTGATATCTTTTTTGTGTGCAATACTTATATATATCTATTCTGTTATTTTAATATTTTTTATGATTTTTTTGTTTTATTGTTTAATAATTCGAAAATTGTTATTTATTATACATATTTATCTCTTTTTTTGTTACTTTTTTAGGTAGATCGAAGTTGATGCAACAAATGGGTTTTCCCTTAATGCATATTTTTTTCATATATGCGTTCTTATCAATGAATATCATTTTCAAAGCTTCGACTTATTCAACAAAATTATTTTTACATGTTGTTTTTCCTATCTTATTTGACTACAGTGGTCATTTAAGTTGTATTATCTTCTTACATTTCTGTCCACACGTTATTGGGAATATAATTTCGTTTGGTCTGCTTTCACAGAAAAGAGTGTTAGTCTATTAAGACTTACTGAATTATTACATATAATAACTCGTTGGCTTTGGTTATAAATTTTGCTCTAGAATGCTTCGCTGATCTTAAAGTTTAATTTTGGTTTTCATCCAATGTCCAATGTATTGGATACATAGTACTCGTATTTGATAAGGATCGAATAGTAGATGCATTTTATTCAGTCTTATTTAGAGTGACAGTTTTTCAATTGATTTATCACTTTCAAAATCCTTCATTGCCTTTATTACGTCTTTGCGCATATATCCACTTTCATTGAAACGCGATTTATAAAAATCATAAAGTATATATAACAATTCTCCAAAATCTAGTAATCACTGAGAACAAACAAAATAGAATTACTTATCAATGAAATAATTAATGAAAACATTATAAAATTTGTATCAAAATTTCAGTTTCACATTTTCTCGCTATCCGAGAAAATATCAAAATGGAAAGAAAGTCGAACTTAACAAGCCTTGCTCTTCTGCAATTTAAGAGGGACTTGGAAATGTTTCAGAAGAAATGCAAAAATTTAAGAGCACATTCACGTAAGTTTGTTTAAATAATCGAAAAAAAAAATTTTAATTGTTAATATTACATTATATTTTATATTTTTTATATATTTATTATATTTTTTATATATTCTTAAATAATTTCGCAATATTCTTTACAGTTCCATAATTTATTATACAATTAATTAGGTTCATTGTAATTAAAGATAAGTCCTTCAATTTCAATTCACTTAACGGTTTTTCAAAAATGTATTGATTTTCAAAAAATAAAAAGTGGATAACTTTGACAGTTTATTATAAAAACCAAAGTCCTTTTTTTTCAAATAATGTTTAATATTCTGACAGTTTGATACTTACGGCTCAATAACACTTAGGCTAAGAGAAATAATGTATTATGTTTTCATGGCTGTTGTGCTGTTATAAGCACCGATTCTTAATACCACAATTATTAATGATTGTATTTCGAAACACTTCTCCTCCAAATACCTTGTAGGCTCTGATATATAATTTTAACAGAAGGTGAAAGTTCAGCATATCATGATTGACATATCACTAAAAGCTTAAAGTCAGACAGCTTAAACCGTACTTTAAATAGTACCATAGTGCATACTATATGGCAAAAAGCGACTTATATAATTAAATAAATTTATACAGCTCTCACCAGACCTATTCTGCTGCGTAATGTTTTGAAATGTTGATCTTCCTTAGACAAGCCGTCGGACTAAATATATGGCGCTAAAGGAGTTCAGCGAATACCTGAACTTTGCGTTGGTGTGACCTTGATGGCGCTTAAATTCTTACGCAAATAAACAGTGTCTTTTCGCGTCTCGTTTCAGTCTAAATCAGTTTCACTTCGAAAGATATTATATACCCACAGCACATAATTTTGACTGTAAGTTGATTGTCGACATTACATAGATTAAAACTTAGGCACTGGAAAGTCTGTATTAGAGGATACCATACTGTCAATGGTGAGGGTGTACGAAGTAATATTTTCCTTGAAAAGCTTTACCAAAACCCCGTTATGAATTTCTGCACTGCTACAATTGTTCAACAACAAAAACTGAGTTGACTTGAAATTCCCCGTGGTTTCATTTTACTACATCTATACCATCAATCCATCTTAATACAGGCCATCTTAATACTATATCGTTTACCAATTCTTTCTGTCCTCATGTCCTCATTTCGCGCTTACAATGCTTTATCCTGAATAATATCTTTCATTTGATTCTACTGGAACAAGTGTGGTATTATCACGGAATATCAGAACAACAAAATGCGATTTTAGATTGCTAGCGAGACTTATTCCATTTCTCATTGCAAATTTTTGGACTTATTAGAGTAATTAAAATCAGATTGATTTGTCAAACATCATCAAAAATTTTTATCATGAAATACTTTATATCTTATTTAGCTTAATATCTTAAGCTTTTGTGGATAATTACTTAAATATGAAATGAAAACAACGATTTTATTTTTTTGTATAGCAAATATTGTTTAACACATTGCTTCTAACACATTTTGAAACTTTACAGGTTTACAGGCCGTGCGAGATCCATCACTGTACCAATTATTTGTTGATATAAGAAAAGAAAACAGAAAATGGGCTCGTGAGAAGAAGTATGTGCTTGATACATTGAATGCTGGTGGAAGCAAGTCTATATATGATATTTGAAGAGAAGCAAATAGTAGGTCTAATAACTAATGTTATTTAATAAATAGGGTGCCTCTAACGGATTTTGGACCCCTTTTTCCACAATGGTCCCATTTCACCTCCCATTTCTGGTAACTTTATTTTCGATTAAAAAAACAAGCACTAAATAAATATATTGTCGTTAAATTGTAGGTGCCGGGGATGCCCCACGCAATTTGCGCATGTTAAATTCTTATGTATTTTACTCAGGTAAATTTATATTTATTTATGAATATATATATATTCAATTTTATGTAAAAAACTTATAACTACAGTTTAATAAACTGTATTTATTTATTATGTTATGTGCCTTTATGCGTAGGTAATCGTTTATATGAATTCAATTTTATTTAACATTTTTTATAACTCATGTAAAATATAATACTGATTAGAATATATTTTTTATTTATATTTACACAACTGCTTCACGCTTGATGGACTCAGATGATGAGACAATTAGCGAAATATCCAGCAAGGATTCGTTTTCTGAGCAACGTTTTTATGTTCCGAAACCTAAAGGAGTCAATGTATTATCTTCTCACGACTCTTCGTACTTCGCTTATCCACGTACATATGCACCTAGACTAACACCAAAATACCAGAGTACTTTAAAAAATTAGAAAAATCTCTATTGTAATCAGAAGGTGAACGCTAATGCCCATAACTCTCGATTGAATGCATCAGATATCAACAAAGAAATGATAATTAATTTCTGAAAAAAAACTATAATGGTCGCGATGATCTTTCCATAACTTTTTCAAACGAATTAGGAGTCAAAATTTGGAGGTAGATATTTTCATGAGATTATGAAAAATATCACTTTATAATAAAAAACAAATTGATTTTTTGAAAACAAGTAATTAAAAAAATTGTTTTTTTTTATTTATCTAAATACAAATTGAAAAATTTTATATAAGCTCAAAGGCAAATCAATAGAAAAACGGCTTCAAGATTCAGATACAGTATAATATTTTTTCTCCTTTTGTGCATGAACCGTTTGCTACTATATCAGATATATTGGCACTTGAACTATTTTTTCTTCAAATCCTTCAAGTCAAAATATTTTAGTTTGCTTTCAAATTAAATAGAATAGTAAATATGCCATTCTATAAATATTGGCATGTATCATTACCCTCCCCCTACACTCACTTGTCGCATTTATTTCATTTCTTTATAGCTTTCACATTTCTATATAGACTTTCACACTCTAGTCTATCAAAAATCATGGTCATTTAAAAAAAAAATGAATTAATAGTAATTTTTATGCCACAGAAATGTCCAATTATGAAGTTCCTGTTAGCAACGCTTAAGTCCCAACATTGCACGGCATGCCGCAATATTTAACAATCACCGATGTTTCACCTACTGTTTATGGGTGCTGAGGTCACATAAATAACTGTCAAAACAGAAAAAAGGTTTGCGTCTTTTTCGGTATTTGCCGAACACGTTTTGGCTTTCTGCGCTATGGCCACCCTTTTGACAGTTTGGTAAATTAGTTAAGCTTACTAAATTGTGAAGTATAAATTTCAATGGGGCCGAATGAAGCTAAAAACCAAAAACGCAACAGGACAATAACGCAAAAGCACAAAACGCGTATAACTGAGGCATTGACATAAACGACAAGAAGGACATCGAAAATGAAAATAATACACGAAAAGGCACTGTGAACCTGAACGTGCGGACATAGTCGTATTAACATTTCACATCACCGGCAATGAATACCATAAAGCGAACGCGAGCAGAGTCGTAACACCAAGGTCGCCTATCTTGAACTGCTTTTGACAGCGTTTAACAAATGTGCATGTACGTGTATTTGTTTGTCGGCGTGTTTGAGTGCTTGTTTGACTACATGGCGTGCACGCGCCGCAAATAGAAATATTTTTTCTTGTTCTTTTTTTTCGGATATATAAGTTGAAGGTATTATCAAAATGTACTGTTACCGCAAAGTAACCATAATCCTGAGAACATCAAACACAATTACCATTTAGACAATCATTCAGAACGCAGCTTCTTAACAATTCAGCCATTCAGTTACTCAGTCATGCAGTTATTTAGTCACTTAGTCGTTTGGACGTGTGGTCCAACGGTCATTCAGGCAAGATACATTAGTGTTCAGTGAGTTGTAATTGCACTTTCAAATTGGCAGGCGTCATGTGCAATACATATATGAGACATTTGCACGTTGCTTAAGGATGTCAAATGCATGAAACACATTAGATAAAAATGACATTTGATTCTGTCAATGGTCGATGCGGTCAATTTGATAGTCAAAACGTATTTAAAGAAGTCCATTTCGAGTCTGAAAGCGGTTAGTAAACAATTTGACGCAATAAGAAAGATATGAGCATAAACTGCCAGTGGCATGGGACTACGCTCAAGCAACTCAATTTAATTGTAAGCAGAAATGACAAATGAAACATACAGTTTTGCAGTTGACATGTTTAATAATAGCCAACGTTCAGAAATGTTAATTAATTGTGGATTAATTATGAATTAGAATGGAAAGTGAGTGGCCTCTACACAGGCATAAGATTCACAATATATGCTACTGTATGCCGTCTAAAATTAATACAACAAAATTATGTATCTATAATGTATCTATAATTATATGTGAATTCATTAAACAAATATATGTCAGATATTTTCATACTCACCATTTTAATTGCTTTATATATAATGGAAAAGTAATTTTCAAACAATAATTCTATATACGATATATTGCGATAGCTAATCTGGTTTTTTTTAAAGAACTTTTCAAAAATATTTTTCATAGACAATTTCGTTGAGTATAATAATGTTTTGTCAAATCATTTAAAAGACTCTATTTATTATGTATAGAGCACTCTACAAGTTTTTTTTTATTTGCAACAAGTCCACAAATTTTTATCTTATGTACACATTTTTTAAAAAGCATAGTTGTTTCAAGGCGCTTATGAACTTTTACTAATTATTTCTTATTTCTAAAGCAAGCATCGTACAAAAAATGATTGAACAGGCGCGAAGAGAGATATATTTTCAATATTTACAGACATGTTTCAATCAGAAATTTGGCGTGAGAGGAAACTTTAACAGAAAATTACGCATATCACCATGTTTCCAAAATAGGTCATCCCAGCAATATCATGTCACAATAAATGTCATTGAAAAACGTGCATGATCGAGGAAAAACTCTTAAGGAAAAAATACTTGCAAATTAATAAAATATTGGCATATCATGAATATTTATAAACATATTTTTTTAGTTTTTCAGCATAATCAATAATTATATATATTTTATTTATTTTTTTTACTGTGGACTGCATAATAGTTCAGTAAATATGAAAACAGCGTTCTAAATGTTATAATTAAGAATAATCGGATCCGGATCGCTTGCACTCGCCAGGACAGCTGTGTCATTTACAAATGTACCAGTTAGAATTCCTGTCCTCTTTGGTAAATCGTATGTGAAACGCAGATAAAGAATTGGACCGAGCACACTGTTTTGTGGTACTACAGCTTATATATCAAATAAAGAAGACATTTCATGTTCGTCGTTGGCATAAAAGGATCTTTTCAATAGATGCGATTTTATGAATGTTAGTTCAGTGGCAGAAGCTTTTTAGATTTGAAAAGAAGTCCCTTTTGTCAAGTGCTTTGGATATGTCCAAAAACACTATTGAGTAGTATTCCTTTTACTCGAAGGAATACTACTCAATACTACTCTGCATTCTTTCAACAATTCTATGAATTTGCTCAATCGCTGAATGTTTTCTTCTGAATTCAAACTGGTGATTCGGAATTATTTGTTAAAGTCAATTATCGACATAAGACGTTTTAAGAATACTATCTCTACAATTTTTCAGAGAACGGGAAGGAGACTTGCCGGACGATAAGATTTAACGTCTTCAGCTGGTTTTTCTAGTTTGAGTACGACCTTTATTTCGGCAACTTTCCATTCAGTTGGGATGCTCCTTCTATACAAGGAAGCTGGGTAATAAATATTAAAGCAGCATCTGGAAGTTTTTTTTAAGGTTTCAGCAGTTATGAGGTCATGTCCAGGTGTCTTTCGATTTTTAAGAGGTAAAAATTTAATGGTCAAAATTATTTCTTCATTTTTAAATTTCTTAATTAGTAACTCAATTTGGTAAGTTTATTCCAAGAAATTGGAAACATTGACAATTATAGCTGGATCACTATCCATATCATGTAGAGTAAAAACGTTCTTTAGATGGCTTGCGAAAAGTTGAGCAGTCTCAGAAGGTTTTTTCGCCCGAGTATTGTTTGGTTTTTTAAGTAGGGGTCTATAATCTATTGTATTATTTATTTTTCTGTTTGCTTTCCATAAAGTAAAGTTGAATAAGTGGGACGAGGCAATGTAAGAACTGCAACGTATTTAGTTCCGTCTATCGTTTTAGAAGAATCTTTAGATCTTTAATGATTTTGTTTAGTTTCGCGTTTATCTTTTAGTTTTTTTCGTGGTCTCCCCAGCGTAAATTACTATATTATTCACATAGTATTTTGGTAGAGGTGTAGCTTCCAATGCTGCTTCCTGAATAGATGTAGTTAGATATTCAGTCGTTTAATTCTTTCTTCTTCGGTTTTAAGTAACATTTTGACATTTAGAGACGATGACAATATTGTTTAAAATAAAGTCAAATTTGTTAGTTTATTGTATAACTGACATTTTTGGATCTTGTTTCTAAGGTCTTTATCTATAATAGCAATCACTGGTGAATGGTCCGATGATAACTCTAAGCTGATCTTGTACTGCGCATGTTCATAAATGAAACTTTTGGTAACACAGAAAAATTAAATTAACAATGAACTCATAATAAAAAATTAATTATTTCAAATTACATCAAGCAATATTGCACAAAATAAAAAGTATTTCAAAAGATTTCGCTACATCCAGGCAAAATTCAATTAATTTAAAATTTGCCAACATAAAAATAATAAATATTTTGTTTAAAAAATAAAAATATTTTCTAAATTGTGTTTTTGTGTCTTAATTTTTTTTTGATATTTGAATATTTTTTTTATATGCAGTAAATATATTTCAGTTTAAATGCTACTATTATGCTAAATTTTAAAATCCCTTCATAAATTTATAAGCAGCAGCGAAGCTCTCCGAGGTTTTATAAATATTTCAGTTAATATTTAAAATCTTTTGCATTAGCTCCAATCAATCATTCAATCATGCCTTTTGTGAGTAAATCCAGGAAGGGAAAAATTGCTTTTTTGCTTAGCTTAAAATGCAAACAATGCAAAAATTTAAATATATTTTAAATATACAATAAATACTATTTTCTGTATATCCTGTATTTCAGCTATAAAATATGCCATTGGCAGACATATCATATCATTCAATTATGTTATGCTCCGCCTGGACAAAGACTGACGTCAGTCAATTTAAAATTCATACTCAACAAAAAAATTTTTACATTTTTACATGATAGTTAATTTATTAAACAATTTTTTTATTTTTTTTCAATATTTCCAATAATTTATTTATTCATTCATTTTTGTTTTTTTGTATATATGCATATATTTTTTAGTTTTGAGTTGATTAAAAAAATTTTGCATTTATTTAATTAAGTAGCAGTTTTTAATTATTTCATATTTCATATATAATCACATTTATTAAGTTTTCATTATATTTTTAATCAATTAATGCTTTCATACTAGCTGTTTTTAAAATATTTATTTAAGTCGTGAAATATGTGCATAGTTTTGATATATTTGACTGACACTTGAATTACGATTCATTTCTACATTTAAATTAATAGTATACAGTACATATCAGTATCGAAAATATAAAATGCAATTTTCATATAAGGTGTGCAAATTTGTATGAAATTACAAAAA